AGGCTAGAGACGCTGCACATTCTCTATACTCCCTGGACCTGTTCAGGATTCAGAGAGCAAACCACCTTTTACCTGAAAATGTTATGGAGGAAAGTTTTATGGATCCTGATTGCGTAGCAGAGACCTCAGAGAATTTCCCTTCCCCTGCATATTATGAGGTACAAGCTACAGCTATGCACCAAATTCTCTCTACTGTGGACACGCGCATTGATGTGATGCTCACTAGTCTTTGCCTAGCTGCACCTGACTTCACAGCCTAAAAAGGGCACTATGGACATTAGAAAGCTGGGTAAGCCAAGAAGGAGTTTTCCAACAACATACATAGATTGACTGCACTGCAGATAGTTGCTGCCATGTCGATTTGCCAGACTGTTGCTGACTTGACAAGACGAAAGTGTGTCCCTTATCTCTGTGAATGTGCACAGGATTTTGTAGTAAGGAAGACAATCCACACTGCCGCCACTGCTCTAAAATGTTTGTTTTTTATAAAGACCACAGGTAATTAATCACAAATACAGTAGGTTGACGCGTTTTAGCTGACACAGCTATAGTCATAACCCAAAATTTGGCATGGAACCTCAAAAATAAATAGTGGTAGGAACACAGACTCTGCCCGCAAATCTGCCAATTACGCACATAATTGCAAAATACTCAACAGCCAAAATAAGCAGCCTAGAGTCAATGCTAGGCCACTCAAAACAAAAAATATACAAAAAAGGTACAATAAAATATACAAAAAAACAGGATTTTGTGGTTAAAAGATTGGTCTGCTAAAACTGCTTGTAAGAAGCATCTTTTATGCATGCCTTCTGGCAGTGAACACCTATTTAAGAGTTTCTTGACAAATTTATTAATATCACCAAGGGAGGTACTCCCTGCTTCTGGCTCTTCTGAGACTCCAGGGCATTCATGTCACAGGTTACCTGGATGACTTCCTACAGAAACAACTCTTCAGCTACAATCTTGTCTGTCAGTGTCAAAAGAAGGATTTAGTTCCTTCAAACCCTTGGCTAGATAATCAGCTTTCCAAAGTCTGCTGTCCAGCCTTTAAATCGTCTGGAGTACCTGGGTCTGATATTGGGCACATCAAATCTGCTTATTCGTCCCTCAAGAGAAAGTTGCTTCCTTAAGGTTCCATAAAAAGATTTTCAGGTCAAAACAGCACCTTTCATTTCACTTCTGGGCTTGATGGCAGCTTCCTTTGAGGCAGTTCCCTTTCACTCTAGACCTCTTCAGTCCAACATACTTACAATCTATAACATGTAAAAACAAACCTTGGATCGCCCAGTGCTTCTATCAAGCTCTCCTTAACATGGTGGATCTCCAGTCCTGCCCTGGATTTGGGAAAGTCTTTTCTTCACATGCTCTGAAAGGTGGTCACTACAGATGTCAGTCTTACATGCTTGGATTGAGTTTACAAATTCCTGACTGTCCAGGGGACATGGTCTACACAGGAACCGAACACTTTCCTTTAATATTATGGAACCAATGCTATCAGATTAACTTCAGCTACACTGGACCTCCCTTCTACAAGGTCACCCAGTCAGAGTACTGTTAGACAATGCCAGAGCAGTGGCATACATAAACCATCAAGAGGGAGCCAGAAGTCAAGCTGCACTAAAAGAATTACGTTTGATACTCTCATGGGTGGAAAACTCACAGTCCAGTTTTCTTGACTGTCCACATCCTTGGATTGGACAGATGGTAGGCGGACTTCCTAAGCCATCAATGCCTAGACCCAAGTACGTGATCTTTGCACCCAGGGATCTTTCAAAATAGTTGGCCTCCAGGTTCAGCAACAAGCTGAACAAATTTCTGGCCAAGACCAAGGTTCCTCTAGCCTTTGCATTAGATGCTCTGGTGATTCCTTGGACTAATGTAAAGCTGGTTTATGACTTCCCCGTAGTGAAGGTCCTCTCTCAACTGTTATGCAAGATACAGGTGGAAAGGGTTATGGTGATTCTCATTGCAGCACATTGGCCCAGAAGGATGTGGCACACAGACACACTCACATTTCTTGGACTCTTTCAAGCAAACCAGATTTACTAGCCTAAGCCCCCATTTCATCCTGCTTCTCAGTCGCTGGCTTTAAAGGAATAGCTGTTGCAACACAAATCTTAAAGGACTCTGCCATTCCCACTCATTACTGAGAACAAGAAAATCCAACCCCCACAAGTTTTACCCTTGCACATTGAATGCTTACTTTGGATAGAAAGTTAATGTCCTATCACTTGTATTTTGGACTTTCCTCAGTCTGGCCTTGACCAGCATCTAGCCAAGCAAGTTTCTGCTTTATCCATTTTATTCCATAAACCTCTTGCCTTGAATCCCTAATCAAGACTTTTGTTATCTGTATTTTCGAGTTGGCAGCTCTTTTTTGTAAAGAACCCTTTTCTGTTTTGCAGAAGGATAAGCTGGTTTTAAGACCGAAACATCTTTATGCCTATGTTGGTATCTTCTTTCCACTTTAATGAGTTTATTGTCCTTCCTTCCCTCTGTCCTGCACCAAAACATTACAAGGAACTAGCCCCACATTGCCTGGATGTGAGGGTCTGTCAGGGTCTGACCTGACAGCCACAGCTTCTGTTCACAAGACGGTGGGGTTGATTTTCTAAAGGCAAATAGACTGTTCACTTTAAAAGTGCAGTTGCACTCTGCAAGAGAATTTGCTCCAGAGATTAGTAAATAAGGGGAAGCTCTGCGGACATCTGTCATCCAATGTGTCAAAGCAAAAATGCTGTTTTTCCTTGCATGCAATTTGGTATTCTTTGTAAAGTGAAGCTTCACCTCATTTACTAAGCTCTGAAGCAGATCCCTTGCAGAGTTCAATTGCACTTGCAGAGTGAACAGTCTATTTGCCTTTAGCTACTCAACCCCCAAATCTTTTTGTTCTGCCTGTGGGCCCTTGTAAAGGGCATCTTGCTTCCTGCTCCACCATTGCCAGTTGGATCAGGCAACCTCTTTCCAGAGCCCACACCCTTAGAGACAATGTTCCTCCTTTTCCTATCAAGAGCCCATGCCATCAGGACTGTTGTCTCTTGGGCTTTTCAGTATGAAACATCTGTTTCCCAGATTTGAAAGGCCACCACCTGGTCCTCTATTCACATGCTCTGTAAGTTCTACCAGGTGAATGTTCAGGCCTCAACTGATGTGAGCTTCCACCACAAAGTGCTTCAAGCTGTTATTTGAGTGTTTTGTTTTGGGTTCTTTAACCCTTGTTTTCTGGTGGGCCCTTTGGCAGTTCCAGTTGCAGATGTTGTTGATTACACCTCAGTTTAGTGCTTGGGTATGTCTCATGGTACTTGAAATGAGTCCTTTGTTCTGTACTGTACAGTTATGCAGGCCATAGACACGCTCGATTCCCATTCCGAGTTGATGGGGGAATCCCTCCCATGGAGCTATTGTGTTCTCCCGATAGGAGGAGCAGTCCCTGCCGGGAGAACACAGTGTTTATTACCAGCTGCTGCAGCTGCTGGTGATAATAACATGTAAAAGTCCGACATACTGGTTGTTACAGAGCCAATAATAATAGTTTGTAGCGCTTCACAATATATATTAATAAAAATATAAATGAAAATAAACCACAACACCCTTGACAATTAAGTGTTACAGACCGCCTGCCACCCCGATTGGGTGATTCCGTCAGAGAACTGTTTCCTCACCGCTGGCACACAGGAACAAGGTATTATAGCTGGGCATCACACCGAAGACTAGGCGACACTAGCTTAGGTGCAAAACTGAAACTATTTTATTGAACATAAAATACAGGTTTCTATACACTTCAGAAATAGGGCAGTCGACACATGAACAAAAAATAAATATTACAGATTGGGATAAACATCCCACAATGATTAGGTAAGAGCTTGATCACATTATCCTGAACAGTGCAAACAGTACAGCTAACAGTGATCTAATTAACAGTAAGCTAATCAACAGCCAAGCACCCAGACAAGCCAGGCCACCCCAGCCAGCCCGGCACCTCCAACCCTGAATACATGAAGTACATTGCACATGCTGTCTTTCAGGTGTTTGCTTTCACTTGTATAATTTGTTCATAATAAGACAAAACTCATACAATATTCCAACAGTCTGAAAAAGTGGAATTCATCTATTTTCATAGATTTCTTGAGGGCGATCGTTGGTAAATTTTTCTGTCCCAAGTGGAGGAGGTTCTCCAACCCAATCTGCAGGAAGGCACCATATTTCCTCTGACCATTAATCTGTATACGATTAATATGACCCCTTTCCATCCACTCCAGAAGGGAAGCAATATTGTCTTTACTCAGGGATTTAAACCAAGCCTCACTCTCAGCGTTCATCACGTTGTTGTCCACTAATAGAGAACGATCCGCTCTCCCCATGGGCCATAATCAGTGTTTAATCACCTGAAGGTAGCCTGCGTATAACCCATGGTCTATGAATGCCAGTCTTGTGTCCTGTACTGTATTCCAAAATAAGGTGTAAGTACAAATTCTGATTATTTTTTTATAGCTGTCACTAGAAGAAAAGGTGAGGGGACATTTTCTAAAGGTGACACCTGTTCCATAGACATCTATCTAAAGCCAGCCATAGATGGAGTGAATCACTCGATTACCACATCAATACAGTCAGTGTTGATGGGGAAATCTTTCCCGTAGAGCCATTGTGTTCTGGCAGGGGGAGCCATCCCTACCAGGAGAACACAGTGATTACTGCTAGCGGCTATAATAGCCGCTAACAATAATCGTATGTAAAATCCAACAGGCTAATTGTAGCCAAGTTACGCTATCTGGATACATCCAGCCAGCCCATGTATGGTTGAAATTTTGACTAGTCCCTGCTGAACCGGCAAAGATTCGAATCCACCTATGGTCATCTTAAATGATAAGTTCACCTTTTCAAGGTGTAACATGTTACCATTTGACTGGCCCCCGATCCCCGCTTTGACAGCTAGCAGGGATCTTCTCCTCTCTTTTTAAGAAAACCGTGACTGTGCGGGGTCACTCATTCACAGCATCTTGTGAATGAGAGACTAAAATTCCCGGCAGCCTTAGGGGCTGTCAGCTTGTAGTCTTCAATGAACTACCATGGCACTGTAGAGTGCCGTGGTAGTACATTGATTCTTCCCGTCAGTATATCTGCTTGCTCATACATCCTGTACGAGCAAGCAGATATTCTGACAGATCTGCAGGAGACCTGCATGGCACCAGTGATCTGCTGATCGCTGTTGCAATGCTTTACAGGCTCCTGCAGACAAAAATAATAAATGCACATTTTTTACCTGCAAAAACAGTGCATTTATTATTTTAAACCTGCAAAAAAAGTGCATTTATTTATTTTTCTAAAAGGTCAACTTATCCTTTAACCACTTGCCTACCAGGCACTTATACCCCCTTATTTACCAGGCCAATTTTCAGCTTTCAGCGCTGCCGCACTTGACAATTGCGTGGTCATGCAACATTGTACCCATATGAAATTTTGATCATTTTTTTCTCACAAATAGAGCTTTCTTTTGGTGGTATTTAATCGCCACTGGGCGCTTTACTTTTTGCGCTATAAATAAAAAAAAAAATGCAAAAAATTTGAAAAAAAAAAAAAAGTTTCTTTGTTTCTTTTATAAAATTTTTCAAACAGGTATTTTTTCTCCTTCACTGATGTGCGTTGATGAGGCAGCACTGATGGGTACTGATAGGCGGCACTGATGGGCACTGATAGGCAGGGGCACTGATAGGCAGTACTAATGAGGTGGCATGGATAGGCGGCACTGATAGACAGCACTAATGAGGTGTCACGGATAGGCGGCACTAATATGCAGCACTGATAGGCGGCACTGATAGGTGATACTGATTATGGGTACTGATAGACGGCACTGACTGGCATCACTGATGGGCACTGACTGGCACAACCCCTGGGCACTGACTGGTGGCACTGACTGGCAGCACTGCACTGGTGTGGGTGCACTGGGCTGCACTGGTGGGTGGCACTGGTGGGCGCACTGGTGGGTGGGCACAGGTGGGTGGCACTGGTGGGCACAGGTGGGTGGGCACAGGTGGGTGGCACTTCTGGGCACAGGTAGGTGGCACGTCTGGGCACAGGTAGGTGGCACTGCAGAGTGGTACAGGTGGGTGCACTGCTGGGCACAGGTGGGGGCACTGCTGGGCACAGGGGGACTGCTGGGCACAGGTGGGCGGAGCTAGTGGGCGCACTGCTGGGCACAGGTGGGCGGAACTTGTGGGTGTCACTGCTGGGCACTGATCATCAGGGCACTGATCATCAGTGCCCTGATGATCGGTGCCGATCCCGCTCTCACAACTGCCGGTTCTCGGCAGTACTTTCCTCACGATCTGACAGCGTGAGGAAAGTGCAGCCGAGAACCGGCACTTGCATTTCCCTCTGATCAGCGTGTCATTGGGCACCGCTGATCAGGTGGTAAAAGGCCGCTGTGATTGGCCTTTTACCACATCACATGATCAGCTGTGTCCGTAGGACACAGCGATCACGGAGATCGCCGGGTGGGCGCCCCCTGGGGCGCGCAGGAGAGCGCGTTCTGGGAGGACGTCATAGGACGTCCACCCAGAACTGGCCGGCCGCAGTGCAGCCGTCATTCGGCTATCTGCGGTCGGCTACTAGTTAAGAGGGCAGTTCCTCCTGTTATGTACCAGGGAAATATCTCTAGTGGAACACAGACAAAACAAAAAACTAATAGGGGTTTAATCAATACCCCCTTCTTATGAAACTAATAAAAATAATTTTTGGCTTTAGATTTATTAAGTTGACCTAAACTTGTTATTTTTACTGTGGGAAAAGAGAAATAAACTGTAATACAAAGCAGGGACTTTAACTGAGTTGGACCCTCATTATTACTTTCCTGTTAACCCCTACTTTCCCAGTGTTCATTGAAAATAGGTCTGGATTTTAATATGATTGGAAGACTTTTCTTTACAATTAAAACACACGCACACATCACATTAATAGTCATCAACACTCCATAACGAAGGATTTAAGCTGCCAGGACAAATTGAATTGTTTCTCAATAGTTCCTGCAGATAGCCTAATATAGCAAATTATCTGTTACAGTCATGGTAACAGAAATACAAAATAACACAGAACTTACTGGTGTGTGGAATACAGATCAAATCAAAGCCCTAAGATGCAATGGAAAGTTGAATGATAAATCCTGTATTGGCTTCAGTAGAAGTTGGGTTCAGCCATGTTTTCTGTAGGAGCATGTATAAGCCAAATGCTGACTAAAACCACTTCATCATTGGATGACAGACGTGTCGGCCTGCCCATTTTCGCATTTTATCAGCTGTCTGTTTTGTTGTTCCCAGCACACTGACTCACAAATTCCCCTTAATGGTTACCGCTGGTGCATGACCCCACAGTTCCTGGAATTTCATTACAACTGAAGTGGTTAAAACGTTCACATTTTACCTCCAAATGCGGTGTGAAGTGAGTACTTCTGAAAATGGACCAGCTACACCATTTGTCATCCAAATAAAACCATTTTCCTTTAGGCTTTTCAGGAAAATATCTAAAAAAAAAAAAAAAAAACCCCAAAAAAACAAAAAAAAAAAACATTCAGTGCTGGCTGTATATATTGTTTGACTAGGCATTTATTAACTTAGATCTAACTATAACTGGCTTAAAGTGACACAAAACATTATACTTATTCTCAAAAAAATAATCCATACACCTCCATTACTTAATGGCCCTGTAATCTATGTTTCATGATATTGTTTCTTGCTGTGCTTTTCTGCCTCCTTGGGGCACCCTCTGTGAGCCTCTCCTTTTTCCACTCATTTCTGTTTGCCTGGAATGAGCAGTGCTGTGGGTCATGTACTCAGCTCTGTACACACTACAAATCCCATAATTCATAGTTCTTCTCAGGACTGAGCAGGAGAGGGTGGCTATGTTCCTACATACAGTGGGACATGGGAGAACGAATGTAGCCACCCTCTCAAAGTGGAACTTCACTCCCTCAATCAACATTGACTATTTTAAATCCTTATGCTGTTAGCAGTAGTAAATAGGAAAGTATATTATATTTACTTCTTTGAATCTTTTTTTTTTTTTTTATATTTCTTCAGTTACTTCCTGGTTTTCATGGCTAGGCAAATTATGTCATACACCCCAGGAATCTTCAGGAAGGGAGGAGGGTGGGAGGGTTTTTTTTTTCAGCTACGCACAGCCTCCTGCCTGCATGTCTGAGCTATGGGAAGAATCATTTGTCCTTGTTCAAGATGGCCACGGCCAGAAATTCAAGGGGGGTGTGTTTTTCAAAGTGATTTCCCAGCAAAATAAAGCATGGAGACACGGATGGATGGGTGAGTTTGCTTTGAATAGTTAGGTGAGTTTGCAGGGACTCTCTGCAGTCAGAATACACTGATCAGCGGCTTTAGCCACTGATCAAGAAAAAATTTACAAGCCCATGCGACAGAAGTCAATTGTTACATTGACTTCTGTTAAGTGGGAGTGGCCACAGATGGATCAAAATATGGCTGGTCCTTCCTGAACTTGCCAAATTGATCCAGCTATAGCCAGCTTAACCTCTTCACGTTGAGAGTGTGGATGGACTTTGACACCGAGAGGCCGTATTTTTGCTTACCAAAATGTAAACAAACCTGTGCCGAGAGCACGTGCCCTGTGTGTTACTGGCACAGTTACCGGCACCTATTGGAAAGCTCCCAGTCGGTTCTTGCAATCAGGAGCTTTTCGATCATGTGACCGCTGTGACAGCCAGTCACGGCAGTCACGTGATCATAACCCCCCGCCTCCGGGCATCAGAATCCGCTTAGAGGCCCAGCAGGCGCCAGCGTTCAGTGTCTATAGAAGAGCTCAGCTGATGACTGCCTAACTTATCTACAGGGGATTTTAGGTAAACAGCACCTCTTCAAAGAGAAGTATGGTCAAAGCTTTTATGGCCATACTTTGCTTGTGGGTCACAAGAGTGCACTTACTTTTGTCCTCCTCCAGAGTCAGCTGATAGTGGGCTATTGCCAGCTATCAGCTGACAAGGCAGAGCCACTCCAATTGTCGGAGCTGGCTGCTTCAGCTGGTACTCTAGTGAGAGAGTGGTGACAGATACTGGTCATGTGATCGCACCGTTCTTGGGCTCAGAGCTATGTGGGAATGCTGCAGCATCACACAGATTTATTTTGCTAAATGAAAATCTATACACTTTATTAGCAAATGAACCCCTGTGTTCATTACTATTTGTTTTGTCCAAAGGCTGGATGGAGCTTAAGTGTACTCATCACCTACAGTCAGGGGTTGGTTTGCTAAAATTATAAAGATCGCCCACTTAATGGTTAGCACTTCTGCCTTGCAGTACTAGGGTCCTTGGTTTAACACCAGGTCAAGACACTATTTGCATGGAGTGGGTTTTCTGTGGGTTCTCTGGTTTCCTCCTACACTCCAAAGACATCCTAACTAAAATTTCCTAAGCATGCCCAAGATGGCTGTCTCGCCATCTGCCCCAATAGAGTTTTAAAGTGATACTAAAGGTTAATTTTTTCGGGGGAAAATAACAAACATGTCTATACTTACCTTCTGTGTGCAGTGGTTTTGCACAGAGCAGCCTGGATCCTCCTCTTCTAGGGTTCCCCGCAGGTTCTCCTTGCCCCTCCCTGCTGTCGGGTGCCCCCACAGCAAGCAGCTTGCTATGGGGCTAACCGCTGCTTTGTGTGTCCATTCACTCATGGAGCCACAGCTTGGTCCCGTCCCCTCTCCTCATTGGCTTACTGGCTGTGATTGACCGCAGCAGGAGCCAATGGCTCCCGTTTGCTGTCTCAGTCAAGGAGGAGGCAGAGCCAATGGCTCCCGCTTACTGTCTCAGTCAAGGAGGAGGCAAAGCCAATGGCTCCCAAGCTTACTGTCTCAGCTCAAAGCCAATGGCTCCCGCTTACTGTCTCAGCCAAGGAGGAGGCAAAGCCAATGGCTCCCGCTTACTGTCTCAGCCAAGGAGGAGACAGAGCCAATGGCTCCCTCTTACTGTCTCAGCCAAGGAGGAGGCAGAGCCAATGGCTCCCGATTACTGTCTCAGTCAAGGAGGAGACAGAGCCAATGGCTCCCGCTTACTGTCTCAGCCAAGGAGGAGGCAGAGTCAATGGCTCCCGTTTACTGTCTCAGCCAAGGAGGAGGCAGAGCCAATGGCTCCCGCTTACTGTCTCAGCCAAGGAGGAGGCAGAGCCAATGGCTCCCGGTTACTGTTCCAGCCAAGGAGGAGGCAGAGCCAATGGCCAATGGCTCCCGGTTACTGTTCCAGCCAAGGAGGAGGCAGAGCCAATGGCTCCCGCTTGCTGTCTCAGCCAAGGAGGAGGCAGAGCCAATGGCTCCCGGTTACTGTTCCAGCCAAGGAGGAGG